ACAGCTGAGCAGAGCAGCTGAGAGCTCAGCCAACCTTGCACCCTGTGATCGAGAGTTTCACGCTGTCAGCCAGCGGTCACGATCTGCTGAAGAACAGCGACTGCTCGCCCTCATTCGGACAGCCGCACTTGACAGACATCATCTTCTCTGATCTCAGATCAGAGCTCCCATGTCGCAGCTTCTTCGTGGCTGGCAGGCACCTAGTTATTCAGGCAGAGTGGTGAGGCACTTTGATGGCGCAAAATCGACCCTTCAATCAAATTCCAGTTTATCCTGTTTTGATTGATGTGGAGTGGATGGAAAAACACAGAAATGAGCATCGTAATTTAAGCTGTGTTATGTGGATGGGGTGAAGTGGAGCACTAAATTCTCTGTCATGTTTTGTTATTTTGGGTTCAGCAGACTGCATAAAAAAAATGAAAGAAAAGTGCATTTTTATTTATTTTTAGTTGTTTTTAACGTTACACACTAACAGTGCCTCATTGGACATTATTCCATCTCACAGTTAAGACCCCTAAATGCTGGCATATTGCAGAAAAAAGAAAAACAAATGTTAGTAAGAAATCAGCGTAAAGCTTTGAAGTCATAGTGTGTAGAGGGCCATCACTGTCCACAAAGCCAAAAGCTTATTGAAGTGATTTTAAGATCTGCTGGTGCCTATTTGTACAGGACAGACAGAACAGAGCAAAATGAAGATCTGAAGGGACTCTAGCAGGGCTTTAACCCCCTGAGCACATGTTCAGATCTTTTAAGATAACGATCTGTGATGACTGAGTGTAGACATACGGCATTGTTCAAAATTCTGTAGACACCCTTGATTTCTTTATATTTTGCTTCCCTTTTAAAATTGGTCTTGAGCAATAGTCCTACAGGCTTTCCAATGGTCTTTCAAAGTTTTTCTGTGGACATTTGGACATTTCCACATCTGCAGAAAACGGTGGAGGCTCAGTGGTGTTGGAAACAAGCGCAGTGAGATTTTTGCTCCATTGTGTAAAAGTTTCTTGCCGAAGACGGTTCAGGCTGTGTTGAAGAATAAAGGTGACCTTACACGTTATTGACTTTAGAAATTGTTTTTACTGTATTTCCATGTATGTTTGCAAATATTTCAATAAATGTCTGAAGGCTATTTACTATTTTCCCACCAAATACAAAGAGATGAGCAGTGGCTCAGGACACTTCGGTGTCTCCGCAGTGCTAAACATGCCTGTAGCTTAAGTTATCGCTTTGGCGTGGTTTGAATCTCCAAAAGGAGGCAGCTTTAATGATGTAGAGAGAAGAGCTCGCCTTTTTAGCCTTTTACTTATTAAAGATGGCCTGATCCGGCTTTCTTCTAGTTCCATAGTGATACCTCGACTGTGTGTATCTGCTGATAACAGGAACTGAGCCGATACCAGTGTTAAATTAATAATGGGTGACCATAACTGAACAACAGAGACCGAGAATCATTGTTATATGTGTAAAGAAACATCAGACTCAACTTTAAAGATCCTTTCAAACTTTGTAACATAAAGTTTAAGAAAAAAATACATCCATGAAATTTCCAGAATTTTTGGTTGATATCAACAAGATAAATACAATGGAACAGCAATGTACTTGTGTTATGCATCTGATTTATTTGCATCGGACTGACTTTGAATATCATAGTGCCTGCTACTGTTTCATTGTCAAACAGCTACGGAGCTGACAGGAGACAGCTGAAGTGAAATATTATTTAATGGCATTGACAACACCTTACTTTATCACAAGTATAATGAGAGCTTAAAGCAGCGTCCTTCTAACGTCTTGGACAAACTCTCTGAACAAAGTGAGAGTGAGTGAGAGAAAGAGACAAAGCCACATCTGATCTTTTCACCCATGATGGCTCACTTTAACCACAGTTTGTTCTTAAGTGAAACAGTTTTGCAAACATACAGACAGAAGCTGTTGGTGTAGCTACAGTGAAACACCTCCAACTCCAACAGAGAAGTGAACTGAGGGGACTGACACCGGATGATTATCAGAGATTACCTTACAATATAAAGCGCCTTGAGGCGACTGTTGTTGTGATTTGGTGCTGTATAAATAAAACTGAATTGAATTGATATGGGCTCCATCTTTTTGGGTCTATATCAGGCCGATATCCAGTCCAAATATCGAGTCGGCACATCCCTATTACTTATGCTAATTTACCTGTACATAAAAGATGGCTATCACCTTTTGACTTTCTGGCCACATGATTTGAAGCCTCAGAGTTGGTGCACTGGCTGGCACATTTTTGTTTTTGTAACCATAGGTGAGTGTTTGCAGATAGCTGCTGGGCACAGCTACCCATGACCAACAAAATCCAGATGATTTAGCTTAAAAAAAGATAATCTGTAATATTGATTTGAAGGTATAAATTCTTATCTTGTGTTGACTTGAGGCTGGAGTTGACCCATGGTCACTGTCAAAACACACTTAATAGATGAATCATTCATCACAGTAATTGGTTGTAAAAATCAGAAGGAGTTTCTAAGTTGCATACTGAACAGCAGGGCTTCGTGCATTATGTTGGTCTGTGCCGATGTCACAAGTATTTTATTTGGTTGTTAACAGTGTGTTTTCTCAAACGTTAATTTAGGTGGGCTGGATTTACAACGATGCAAAACGAGAACATCGCCGAGAAGCTGAAAATGGCACAATGACCATTTTCCTCTCGATTATCTCGTTCTCATAATCATTGGAAGTCAAATCAAATGAAAAAAAAATAATTGAAAATAAAATAGTCTGGGCAGAACTCCTATACTTAAGTCGTGTGCTGACTGCCTGTGGCAACCGTCGCAGTGTGTTTCACATCTTGTGCTGGATGTAGCTCCATAAAGCCAGCCGTGTGAAATATTTTCCACTGAAAGGTTGATGGGTAGTAACATTGTGAAGTTCTCAGCCCGAGGCGAATGCTGCACAGGTCATCTGCAGGAAGCCGTTGCTCTCAGTGACTTTCTTTTCCAAGTACTGGAATGACAAAATGTCAACAAGTAATTAGCAGTGAAAACAAAGCTGTGACACGTTATTAAGCCGGTACAAATGAAGTTTGATTTTTAAAGAACGTAAATACAAGAAGAAGAGAAAGGTCAAGGAACTTGTTTTCCAGAGTGTAGCTTACATTAATCACTATGATTAGCTCGTTAGTATCTAGTTTTGGCTGTGGATTTATGCTCATTGACTTGCAGTGTATGCTGTTTAAGAGCTTTTCCACTTTGGGGCCAGTTACTCCGACAACTGATGGCTTTTCTTCTGATCAATGAATGTTGACAGATGATCCCTCTTTCCTTCAGTGGGATGAAATGTACAACCTTTTAAGGCTTTGATTTGGTTTCTTATGTTGTTGTTTTTTAATAAAATTAAGTCACAAAATGACCTTGTCTTTTGGACACAGCTTGATTAATCACTGGGCTACTGTGCTTGTGTTTCCAGGTTTATGCACATTGCAAACAACCAATAAATAAATTGGCTATTTGCAATTTTCTCAGTAGAAATTTGTAACTGTGGTCTAAGATGCCGAGATATAAATTCTTAATCTAGTGGTAATACCCTAGCTGATATTCATGCCATGCTTTCATCTTTTGTTTTTTTGCGTAGTGGCACTACTTTAAAAAAAATTTGTAAAATAACACAGCCGTGCCTCAGCATAGAGTCATTTTAGCGGCACTCGCAAGGTAATAACCACTTAGAATATGGGATTGCTTCTGTGCGGAGTGAATATATCCTTGACAGCCGACTAACACACAGTTTTTTTTTTTGTTTGTTTTCCAGATTACCCAGGAGCAGTTTATTCTTGCATCCCAGTCCCTGCACCTCCAACGACCAGGCTGCGATGCCGTGTACCCGGTGGGTTTATACGGGTGGAGAAAAAGATGCCTTTATTTCTTCCTGCTACTGCTCCTGGTCACCATGATAGTTAACCTGGCCCTCACCGTCTGGATCATAAAGGTTATGAACTTCTCAGTGGTGAGTACAGCACGGCAAACACACACTTTGAGTTATCAGAAGGAAGCCTATGATCTCATCGTTAAAGTCGACATATGAATAGATTCTGACTGATGTTAATATTCGGTGATTTAAAAAGTTGATTTGGGCCAGTAATTATTTTTCTTGCAGGCACAAAAAACATAAACAGATTTTTAAAATAACATTTGTTACATGTATTTATTTGTGAATTCTTACTAAGATAACATGACTGCTGTTTAAAAATGATCTTGTTTTATTGTCACAACAACTCGTGGATTACTGTGCCCAGATCAGCTGGTTCTTTCCAGTCCAATCCAGTTTATTTATAGAGCACTTTTTATTGAAAACACAAGTTTGACAAGGTCTCATACAAAGGAGCAGTACACTCTCAAAAAGTCAGTGAAACAAAAAAACCCTTACCAATAATATTAATAATTCATTCATTCATTCATTTATTTGTTCATTTCAGGCACAACAAAAATACATATATTGAACATAAAGTGCACAAAACAAAAACAAAAATTACCTGAAAAGGAGTGGGACGAAGAAAACGTATTAAATCCCACCCGTGTACTCACTCATCAACAAAAAACAATAAGCTTCCCGCAACTAAATAATAAATATAAGGTAAGAAAACACCATTCTGATTTAAATACCAAGGAACAAAGATGAGTTTTAAGATGTGTTTTAAAGGGAGCCAGTTTACCTCAGTGAGTGAGCAGGTGACCCTGTGCCTTGTTTGGTATCATCTTTTTCAGCACAACCTCAGTTGTGTTTTCATTTTGACATACTGTATTAACACAATTGATCTAAAATTAGACAAAAAAACAAAATCAGAGTAGAAAATGTTATATTTTTTACTGTAACAACCAAAAACATGTTTAATGAATCATATTTCATAACTTTAAATGCAAATATGAATTGTCAAATCTAAAATCTAAAATAAATAACCATTTCAAACTATTTACAGAACAATCAGCTGTTCTGCATTCAATAAGATGCCACACAAATTATTTGTGCCACGTAGGGATGGGTATCGTTTAGATTTTATCTGATACCAGTGCCTAACCGGTACTTTTGAAACGGTGCCGGTGCTTAAAGAATGGAGAACACAAACTTTGTCCAAAAACCTCTCATGTTTAGCTGTTTTTTTTGTAAAAAGATAACAATGTTAGCCTTTTCTGTAGCTATAGGTTGTATTAGAGAATTTACAGAATTTATCTGCTTGTCTTGCATAAAATGAAAGGCCAGTTTGAGACCAATATTAGCCACTGTGGTTTTAATATACGGCTGCAGAAGGCCCAGGATCAAGAGAGGAGCAGCGCACTACAGCAGTGGTTTAGGGAAGCTGACATCATTATTTTTATGGACATGTTTACCATTTCTATGCAGATAACACCCAAATTTACAACGCCATGGTTAAAAAAAAAATCAAGTCCCACAGGAGACGGTAAAGAGGAAAAAAGAATTCCACATGACAGAGAGGCTAAGGAAGACAGTAGCCGTGTCCCGAAACGTAGGCCGCATCCTTCTGAGGCCGCATTTGTAGACCGATTATGTCACAGTGACGCGACAAAGGCTGTCTCAATTTGTAGACTCCGGCCGACAAATGCTTCCTCCTTTTCCCCAGATTTGAAGGGTGGGTCGGGTGTATCCTTCATGGGCCAGCCAATTCCAGTTTCCAACAATGGCAGCTGCTACTAAGTTTTAATATTACTCTTTTATTCTTTCTGGGTCACAAAATAAACTTTTAAGATAGTTTCAGGCGAGAATGTAGCTGCGTAAACTTCAAATATCTGCTCGGTTTATCAAGACATCACATATTTGCAAAAGTGCTCCGACGTTTTCGGAGACGTCTGTTACCCACCAGATCGATAGCTAGCTGGGGGTTCAAGGGTCACTAGAACAGCGGACTCCCGTCTTCATCGTTTTCAGACCCCCAATGTCTTTCGCTACTCAGGTTAAACATGATATGTAAGTCACTCAGATAACTTAAAAATGTTATTGTTTGGCTTTTTTCAGTGTTTTATTTGTTCCGGACTAAATCGGTTTGGCTGAGATTAAAGTTATTAGATTAGATTTGATTAAATAAAACTTGATTAATCCCTCGGGTGAGTTCCTCTGGTATTTTCACACAGCTGAATAAACGTCAAACAGAAAACTGATTAAAAAGAAGTAAGAGGTGGTCAAGAATTTCGGCAGTGTCCTGTTATATTTTAGACAGCAAGGAGCAGACAGCTGGGTTTATTAAACTCCACCGAGACAGCGATGACGCAAATCTGAAGGCTAGACCGTCCTATTTCACAGTCTTGCACTTCCGGCTTTTTCTTTGAAGGACCTGGCCTATGTAGACCGCTGCAGAGTCATGAAAGTGGACTACTTTTGTTTGTGGCTTTCCAAAAACATAATGCCTACAAGGAAGTTGGTTAGATCCCTCTGGTGGACAGACTATGCAATGCCAGGACTCATAATATTGGTGGAATAGTGTTTCTCACCTTGCTTGTGTAATTTTTAAATGTTTATTTACCAGCTGATAAAAATCCCAGTAGATATATATCAGCAAATGGATAATATTGGGCAATAATATCCGCCTGCTGCTATATCAGTCCCGCTCTAATCTGAAGTATGAAGAGGAGTATTTGAATAAGCCAGGGCTTGTCTGTGATTTGTGGACTCCCGTAGATAGAGGGAGCGGTCATGATTTTGGCTGCTTTGCTGCCTTCTGATTCCTAACAGGTGCCCATTATTGAGGGGAAAATGAATTCCCACATTATCTTGCAGAATAATGTCACGGTGACTGAGTAAAGTTTGCAGGAAAACTAAATCTCCGACTGAATTTCATCAGACAAAAAAAAATAAACAGTATTGTGTTTGGGGTGGCCTGAGAGGAAATCTTATTTCTGTATGTGCAGGTAGATATTTGAGACCAGCACTTAGAGATCATATATTTATACATATATTCATAGGATCTCTAGTGCTGTCCTCAAACATGTAAAGAAAACTGGTCCAGAATTTCTCCTTAAAGCTGTCCGGCTCTCCTTCAGAGCTGTCAGATGTGCACAATTAAGCTCATTGTTGCAAGGAAGGCTTGTACTCTTATTAAATCCAGCATCACTGAAATGAAGTGTTGGTCTTAGCCCGTCCTCCTGTGCCTATCAGAGGTGTCGACCGCTAACTCAGTAGGAGAACCATAATGCTGTATCCAGAACAGCATTTGTGGTGTGCGTCTTGTTCTCTCAGACACATTAACAGTCGTTGGAAGCTTTTATTGCACTTAGAGCAGGCTAACAAGTTGTTGGCAGCACTGTCTTCGCTTTACCGTGTTTACCCTCTCTGATACACTCCAGTCTGTGCTGTGTTCCAACCCTCTCCTATGAAAAGCATTTATAGTAATAACATAATTATATAAATCAGACAAATCAGCCAGTGTATAGCAGTTAGATTTGATTGAGACTGCTTTAGTGTCTAAACTAAACAAGTATTGACAGCAGGGTTACAAATATAGGGGATCAAATATATAACGGGCATCTCGTGCTGTGTACTGGATTCGTCTGGATTCTGTAGTATTAGGAAAAGCCTTGGCAGCAGAACGTGTTAATCTCAAGCAAAATCCAAACAGGCAGAAGCTGCGAGCTCCTCCTGTGACATTTTCAGGGACAATGCACACAATTTACCATTTTGTCAACAAATTCCCAATGGCAGCACCCCTCCCAACCCCCCAAACCCCCTCGACTATTACAATCACTCCTCTGCTCCTTCTTCTGTCATCAATCTATGTCATGAGTGAAAGACCTTATCAGTGGTGTTGGTGTTTCTTCAGAAAATGCACTTCGCTGCTCCAGATCTCTCAGGACTCAGCAAGTTTCATTAAAAAAAAAAAAAGCATAACAGTAGCTTCTAAGAACCGCACCACGAAGGCATTGCTGTTACATTTTAAAGTTGCCACTGATTATCATGTATTAAAATGAGACGGTATTGGAGAACTTGCATTAAAAAAATAAGTCACTTTGAACACTTGGTGCACGCTTGATTTAAAATAAAGCAAGATTTTCCACTCAGCAGTCATATTGACATCCTATCAAGGGAAAAAATCCTCAACATTAAGTTTCATTTTCTCCAGTACATAAAAACTGCATTACTGCATTTTGTTGCGGCAAAATGAGATTGTCAAGCACAACAACAAATTTCATTAAAACCTGCTATAAATGTTGCCAGAAAGAGTCAGTCTGCTATCAGTGAGTGATTAAATGGAGTCAAATTGGTAATATAACTGTAATAAATCATGAAAAATCTCATATCTGTTGTTGTCTACGTAGACAGAAATCCACAGAAATATAACCAGACTATAACCAGCTGGCAGTCAGTTGGGTCGAGTCCCCTGGAGTTGTGCTCACTGACAAAGACTCATTTAGACTGACGGCAACATGTTGGTAATCTGTCTATAAATGAGACAGCAAACCTTCAACAATCTCTCTCAGAGCGATTGCAGTCAGTCCAAGTCAGACTGCAGCTGTTTGCAGAAAGTTTGCCTCCTATCAGGTGACCTGTGCAATCGCCCTGTCCTCAAAAGTGATCCTGAGTGTGCAACACCCTCATGTTCTGGGTAACCACTTAGTCTGCCACACAATATGAAAAAATTCAAAACAGTCACCAGACAGCACCTGATTTTTTTTTTTATTTATTTTTTTTTTTTTGGAGATGTTGCTCTCCTATTTCTACTCACGTGACTGAGCCATTAGGTTTGGCTGAATTAGCTTTGTCAAGCTAAGTGTGTCTATTGCTGGATGGTAATTCAGTTAAGATAATTTAATGTAAGTTTTTTTGGCTAACATTATCTCTGGATGGTCGTGCATCAGATGATCACTCATATTTGTAGTATTTCCAGAGAGTTTTCATTTAATTGTTTGATGAAATATCGATATTTGGTATCCTTGTATTGATACAGTATCGTGGTAGTACAGTTTGTTTGTTTTATTGTGGTAACATGGTTTGACATGTAATATGTTGTGTAAATACAGTATAAGTAATTGCTCAATGATAATTCCATCATTAGAAAAGTAATAGACTGTCTTGCGTGTTCACTATGTTAATGTATTAGCAGGTATTCTGCTTGGCTAGAGATACACCACGGTGCTGCTATCATAACTCTGACAACCTAATCACACATTCAGTTGCTTCTGAATTTGACTCTCTATTCTGAATTTCAGTAAAAGTAGTTGTTCAGTATTTATAATCTCCAGGATGAACATTATTAGCTCAGTTCAAACAATGATGTTAAGCACTATGATGTAAGGCCAACAGGGATTCATTGCAGGTCTAGCAATCAAGCTCTTAAGACTTTGAGTCAACTATTAATCTTAGGATTAATAATCCAGTGGGACGGGATAAACACTCACCACAAAGCTGCCCGGTAAATCAGAAGTCACAACCTGAATGTTTCCAGCAAGCTGAGTGTGTGAATATCTCTGTGGTTACATCACACGGGCAGCCTGATGATGCACACTACTCAAAAGCATTGATTGTTAAAAATAAAGTTTCTCTGAAAATGCTTTTTCCCCCCTCTAAATATGGGAAAATGGATTATGTGAGTCAATCCTTTTTGAAGTCACTGGTCTGAAAACCATGTGGGCTGTTTTCCCTTTTTATTTATTTATAAATTATTTTCTGGGTGAAGCTATGTGCGTGTGCTATCTTGGATCCTCTGACTGGATCAAATAGGATGATAAAGCAGATATGTAGCATTAAAGAAACCACTCCAAAACTTCTGCCCGTCTGTCGAGGGCAGAGGGGGTAAAGCTCAGGTTGTTTTTGGCTCTACAGTTTCTCTTTTAACTGTGGCAGGAGTTCCTCCTCTAGAACATCACCCTTTGTTTCACTGATGCTGACGGTCTCCTTTAGCCTTTGAACATTATCGAACTGGGGCTGTTTGTGACGCCCTCCTTTTCCTCCTACCTCCCATCTACTTATTTAAGTGACTGCAGCGTGTGCCGAATTCTTCACACCCACTATGCCGCCTCCTTCCAGCACAGCAGCAACTTCCCAGTCTGACCTCCACACTGCCGCACACACCTCCGAAACTCCCCTGACTTTGTTCTCCTGTCTGTCCCTGCTCTTTGCTCTCATGCATGATGGCGCTCTCCCTGCTTTTCTCTGCCTCTGTAATTCACTCCATCCATTTGTGCCGCTAGCACTATGGACTCTTTCAACACATCCCTCAGGGCCAATCTGTTCATACACATCTCTACAAAGCTGCCCTCACACTTCAGTCTGCTCATTGTGGTGCAGCTAGGCATAACCTTGTCCAATTTCTACTGAATTATATACAGCCCAAAATCAGCCCCCGAGTAAATGTGAGGTGAAGTTGCGGGATCATGCTTCATTTCATACAGTATTTGGTATTTCATTTTTTTAAAAATTGATGTAGCTTCTGTTGAAACGGGATGGCAAAGAATCAATTTAAGTGCAAACCACTGGGCTGTTACCTGTGGAGAGAGGTAGGACTAGCTGTACAGCTAGATAGTTGAAAAATCAGTGTGACTTTTATTGGCGTGACTTTTTTTAAAGCGCGCAGGTGAAGCAAAAGATCCCACCAATGATGTGCTGCTTTTCAGAAAGTTCAATCACACAGATGGCCAGACAACTTTTAAAGCTGAAAAGTTTAAATTTAGCTTCTTACTGCAGGAAAATCTCAAGTGAAACAAATTCGTTATTAACGATCCCTATTTTGTTCATTCCAGCATTAATTAACAGCTACGGTTACCCAGACGTTGTGCTATTAATAATGAAAACTTAAACGTGAAATCCTGAACACGTGGAAAGGTAGTTAAGGTGGAACAAATTTCTTTTGAGAATCAATTTTTTGAAAATATTTTTCTATTTCTATAGCAAAACACAAACTAAGATGCATTGAACATATTTACAGTCCGGACAATCAGAGAGAAAAATTTATTAATTAATTAAAAGTAAAGAAATTACTTAATTAAAACAAATATAGCAATAAATAAATAAATGAACAATTTAAATAATTTTAAGTACTAGTATTGGGACAATAATGCAACACACAAAAATAAGCTGGTAATTACCAAAATCCTTTTTTATGTTAACACCATTTATTTCCAAATGTACAGTTTTACCAAAAAGAAAAAAGAAAAAATGAGTAAAGCACATTGTTGCTTTTTTAATCAAGATACCAAATCAGTTCTTTTCTTGCATTCCTGAGTAGAAGAATCAGCTTTAGTGGTTAAACTTGAACGTTGAACTAGTTTTAAGCAACTTTTTTGAGAGATTTCCCGAACTTTCTTGTTTTTATATATAGATATGTATATAAGATGCTTATTTGTTCATAACACATACTTTTTATTTTTTAATTTTATGAATGATGGATGTAGCCTCAATGACACATCCCATTGTGTAGCCAAATCATCAAAAAGTATCAAAGATGGTAGAAAACAATGAAGCCAGTGCAAAATGGCTTAAATCTAAACACCACCACGATAGTTGTGGCTACAGAAAGACTTCCTGTCCTATAGAAGTATATGAGAAAAACAGCTTTCCGTCTTGACCTCTGTGAACTCTTTCCTGCAGAGTTTATGGGCTCAGTCACACAATTTGAGAAGCGCTTATGTAAAACTTGAAGGTGAGTAAGATAATGGATAATAGCTGGAACGGACCATCTCTGCAGAATATGGATGTCTTTAATGTCACGTGCCTCTCCTTTCTAATGGTTTTCCTGCTATTACATGCCAAGTGTCTGATTTGACTGTTAAATTCTAATACAGCGCGCTGCTTGAAATGTAAGTTGGTCCTTTTTCAAAGAGGAGTTGGCTGGCTCTTGCAGTTATTAATCATTAAACCGTGTGTGGCGAGGAGCAGCTTGAGCCGTTTTGATAGCAGTTAAAGAAAGCTGGTGTGTAAGTGGCAGTGACTGTCAGGTCCCATATGGTTAAAAAAGCTCTGTTGACATTGTTCGCAGCCATTATTTTCCACAGCAGTGTCTTTAATTTTGTCCAATTTATCACACGTGCCCATTTATGTAAATGCAGTGGACAAAACATTAGCAGCAGCTTTGAATGTATCACAGTGCAGTACAACACTACCCACTTTGACCTTGGTAAGACGAAAACTCCCAAAACTTGCATATTAATATACAATATTGAGCTAATACTATTTCATGCAAATCAGCAGGACCATAAATCTAATTTCTTTCTTATTTCCATGAGTCTTCTCAACATTCGCTTCCATAGCTGCCACATTAGTCTGTTCCTCCTCAGTTTGCCTCCCACTGCATGCAGCCTGTCACCCTGACAGTGCTGAGTGTCTGTGGCATTGTCACCTCGATGTCATGTCCTACTTCTTCCCTGTCACTCAGCCCCGCTGCCTGTCCACCGGCCTGTCTGCTACACAACAGCTTGAGCTCCGTCTAATGTACTTCACCGACGCCAGGATCCTTTTTTTTTCTTTTTTAAAAAACGTTTGGGAAGCTATAACCCTTTAAATCAAATCAGGAAAATGAACACAGCTTCTTACAGCGTCACTGATGATCATGACTCTGTTTCAGGATGGAATGGGAAACCTCAAGCTGAACCAGGATGGGATTCGCATGGAGGGAATCAGCGAGTTTCTTTTGCCTCTGTATGTTAATGAGATTCAGTCCAGAAGGGTAAGTTGCTCCCTTTTCTCACCAGCTTCAAGTTGCTTGTTGATCAATACTCTGATGCACTAGGAATAAGTACCATTGACTGAAACGCATGTGAAAAGCTCTCAGGGAGAAAGATGTCTCTAAAGCTGCAGACAAGTTCATATTGATCTTTCACTGTTGAGGAAGTTATGATCAATTTATTATCAACAAAGGCCAACGTTCCTCCAAGCTCAGACTTTATGCATGCCTGGGTTTAAAAAATAAAATAAAATAAAAGACGACCCCTTTCCTCTCTGTTTATTACTCCTTTCCTCTTCGGCTTCCCTCATTTCCCGTCGTCCTCAAACGGCGTATTATCAGGGCCTCCCATCGGCAGGAGGTGGGTAATAGGCTGCTTCTCAGCTCCTCTCAGGCCACATACAACCTACAGGAGATTACAGACGATTACAGGGGGGGACCAGAGTGTCCCTGCTGGATTTCCAATCAAGCCCACACGATAAATTCCTCCCCCTGTGCACTTCCTCCCTCTCCTTTCTCCTCTTTGATGTTTAGTAGATTAACCAACACAGCTCCAGCCCAAAGTTGATCCAAATGTTCTTCTCCCACACAAATCACAGACGCTCAGTTGGATCATCCCCTTTTTCAGTGATTAGGCATGGTGCAGAAAGCAATTTCAAGCACTGTAGGCTAGGGTTCCAGTATAAATTTGATTTTTTTTTCTGTTTTTTTTTTTTTTTTTTTTTTTTTTTTTTTTTTTTTGAGGGACATGGATGGAGGAAGTGGCACGATTATGGCTCCAATTTGCCACAGCAGATTGAGAAACAACTCCGAATTGCCCACTCGTGCTCTTTGATGTCCTACTTGGAGCTAAATGTTGATTTAAATATAACGCTCTTGTGCCTTAGCGGTAGAAGGAAAAACCACCTCACGGCCGTAGCAGATGCCCAAAACTGAGTATTAGACAAAGCCAATATTTCACCGCTTAGTTCAATACCACCTGCAGACATTTTTACGGTCTTGTTTTACAGACAGCGCTGTGCAGGGCCCCTCTTATCTGCCGCACCAGAGATATTTGCAGGACAAAAGTCTCCATGGGTCACTCAATATTTCCTCATCTGAGGAAATATGTCAAGCACACACAGAGCAGGGATTATGGTTATGTTTACACAACAGTACACTGTGCTTCTCTACAGTCAGATAACCAGCATTGATCAATAAGCCATTACCACAAATGGCAGTGAACTTGGTAGTGCATCAAAGGTTTCTTAAAATCAAATATAGCATGACCTTATTTATTTATTTATTTATTTATTTATTTATTTTTCAAGCTGCAGCTGCTAAACTCGCAGTAAGCTGTAGTTTGATATGTTTTTTTCCTTTTCACGAGTCAATCATTGCTTTAAATTTTAATCAGTAACTGAAGCTGTAATCTGCGGGTAACATATTGAAATACTCCCTCTGCTTATTTTGGCAGTAACTCTGATCGCTAGCAGCAAAGTACATGCTGAGTAGCCCCTTAAAAAGGCAGAGCAGCGTCAGAGTAGCATGTTGCGAGGTGACAGCTGTTCTCTTTCAGTTTACATTGATTAACCGAGCAAAAGGCATGGGAAAAATGCAATCAGGTTGTTTTTGTTGTGTTTGTGAGGTGTCAGCAGGTTAGCATTTTGACCTGCAGACTCTTTTGCAGGTCGAAATGATTAAAAGAAAGTCACTGTGGATGATACACTCTGTTTAAAGGCGTGTGTGTGTGTGTTGTTGTGGGTTTTTTTGGGGTTCTTTTTTTACTGTCATTCTGTATCATTGTTGCTGTTTGGCCTTACTTTCAAATTCAATTGAATTCAAATGAGTTGAGTTGAAGTTCAGTTTATTCCTGCACATTTAATTGCATCCACCTACCTGTCACCCAGGGGAGTGAGGCAGACAGGAGGGAAATAAGAAAGGAAGGAAGAAAGAAGCCACTGTTAATCATAAAACCAAAGTCTTGTCGGTTTTGTTTAAATCTTTATTTAACCATGAAGTGGAGCTCTTGAGATTTAAAATCTCTTTTGTGCGAGTCCGCCGGAGAGCGGGCTGCGCCAACCTAGTGTTTATTTAATGGTAGGTTAATGCAGTTTACAATCTCTGTGTGACGCTGGTGATAATGGGTGGATGACTGGATATGTAAGGCGCTTTGGGGTCCTTAGGGACTAGTAAAGCGCTATATATATATATATATATATACAGGCCATTTACCATTTATTTTACCATAAATAGGCCACATTAATAAATCAGGGTAGTTACCCACAAGACAAAAGCTAAAGATTTAAGCAATGTTATAATAAATATATTAGTAAGAGTTTAAATTTGATTTTTAACACTTTTTATTTCATTTTTCTTGTAGTATAAATTGTTATTTAACAGTATTTATTGGTTTATGTAACAAGTTTTGTCTCGGAAGTGTACAGGATCACTGAATGTTTGGATTTCTGTGTGACTTTTGTAAACCTTTTCATATTGAGAGCTTAAAATCATGTATCATAACCATATGTATATCAGAGTTCTTGTTTTGATGAACCTACAGAAAAAGGCTCTTCAGTTTTATTTTGTGTGTGTGTGTCTTTTTAGTTTTTTTTCACCCACAACTTTAGCGTTTTGAGTCGCTCTGTCAACCTCAGCAGCAGCATATGGCTGTTTGAGTAGAAACCTCTGATAAAATCACTGTTCACAACTTGTTAGGCACCAAACAGCAGGCAGAGTCGCCGGTCTGCTGCTGAACATTTTGCAGATAAAGAGCCCGATATATGACCGAACAGAGTTAAAAGGAAAGCGCCTAAAAGCATCAGTTCAAAGGAATGCTAATGATGGTCAGCATGTGCTGCTGTATGTGTAAATAGTGTGTTAGTGTTAATGGGTTACCCATACTAACATCATGAGATGATCATATGTCTTGTTGCACTTTACCAAGTGGTCAGAAAATTAATTATTGCTGCTTTCAGTTTTGATATTATTAGTAAGTTTTTCCAGCCGTGTCTGTGTAACCTTATAGCCATGAAAATGTATTTGCTCCTTCCTGATTTTTTGCTTTTATGTTTTTTGCATATTTCTCACATTTTTTTATGGTAACCTGAGTAAATAGCCACAGATGCAGTTGTTAAATGTTGATTAATTAAGAGAAAGAAATAATTCAAATCTATTTGGCCCTGTGTGAAAAAGTAACCAAAGGGAACTCAAGGGCTCGTCTCACATTTGCCAAAACCCGTCTTGATGATCTCTGAGACTTTTGGAAAATATTCTGCAGACTGACGAGACAAAAGTTGAACTTTTTGTCCTTTTACGTCTGCATAAAACTAACACAGCAATAAATAAAAAGAACACCAGCATTGAGATATGGTGGTGGCAGTTTGCTTTGCTTTTTCAGGTCTTGCTGTAACTGATGCAATGATGACTTTTTCTCTCTACCAGAAAATCCTGAAGGAGGATGTCCGGCCATCAGTTTGTGCCCTGATGCTCAAACACACTTGGGTTATGCAGCAGGACAATGATCCAAATCACACCAGGTTCACTTTTGAATGCCTCATAAAAGCAAATTTAAGCTTTTACTAGTCAAAGTCCAGAATCAAATCCAATTGAGGTGCTTTGGCTTGCCCTTAAACAGGCCATTAATGTTGGAAAATCCAGTTTGGCCTAACTTAAAACAATTCTGCAAAGAGGAGTGGCCGAAATTCCTCCAGATTGAAAGACTCAATGACTATAATCACAAAGGCTGCCACGATGACACAACCAGTTATTAGGCTTAGGGGGCAATTACTTTTTCACACAGGGTTGAGTAGATTTCAATAATTTTGTTCCTTTTAATAAAAAATGCTTTGCCCATATTGTAGAAAATGCTCAATAACACACACGCCATCAAATGAGGGTCTATTATCTATATTCATTCTAAGTGTTACCATAATGTTGAGTTGAAGAGTTGAAATAGTAAGGACATAAATGAAGTGTAAATCGTTAGAGCCTGTGAAGGTTCTCAGTCATCCAGGTCATCGTAGTCAAAGGAGCTTGCAACGAAGAGCGTCTGGACTTCTTTAAGTTGCTTGAAGACGTTTCACCTCTCATCCGAGAAGCTTCTTCAGTTCTAAGGTCAAATGGTGGAGAGTCCCAGATATAAA